CACTGACAAGCTCCCTATGTAACCTAAAAACAAATGAATCAGCAACAAACCTGTTGCACTTGACCCTGCCCAATATGGGTAACAGGTGTCGACGACCCTTGCTGGATAATGTATGTACCGCCCTGAACTCCCTGTGGAGTGGGAGTAGTGGCCACCGGTTGAGAAATCACTTGCACTGCTTGCCGTTGTTGACGCATAATTGCCTAGACAAACCAAATAGGTTTATTTCGTAGCGCTTCAATTGTCTAGTAGCTTCGAACTTCTAATGAAAATAACCCCTTTGGCTTACCTGCTGCGCTTGTTGAGTTTTCTTGAGGACATCCCGCTCGATAGCGGTCAAAGCATCCTCCTCCTAGAAAATAAGATTTCACCAAATACAAGAACGAGCATGGAGCGCTCTGTATAAGTGAAACGTTTCATAAAGGGTTGTAAATAACAAGAAGAAACACCTTTTTACAGGATCCAGCCAAAGATCCGCCGCTGGACGACAACATGGAATCCATGCCTTCCATACGCCTACGTTTTGGTGTGTATCGCTTTTGATTGTAGGACTGTAAAGGGTTTGGGTACACAAAATACATTAGCTGCAAACGATCATACTTTCACAAGAAGCCAAAAAAGAGCCGAGCTTTCCCAAATAACGTTTTAAGTGGATCATGTTATACCTTTCTCTGGTCCGGAGTCATTCGTTGATATCGCAGACGTGCTGCTTCTGCCCGTTTTGCATTACGTACAACGATTTGCTGAGCCCTATAAGTGCACTTCCAGATACAGCTTATTATTGGACATCGGAATGAAATGAAGGCACTGTTTAGCGAAGGGGGGGGGCATTTTGTACTAACATTGCTTCCCTAGTTCCGGTTTACGAATCTCACCATGGTAAAACTTGTGAACGCCTGTGAAGCTGGAGTAAGATCGTCTAGCCACCATCCTAAAACGTGTCAACTCGAGAAAAGGCTACCTAGATGGGTCGGCACATCTATGAAAAGCCGAATGCCCCCCCCTTCGCTACGTCAACAAAC